GGCCGGGACCCACCACAGGCCACTGGCCGCTCTGCATCACCACTGAGGGATTTGATTTCTGCTCGGGGCTGAGCCCGGGAGGGGAAACACGGCCAGGGGGTCCAGTCCCTGACACGGGGGCTGCACAGCTCAGTGAGGAGAGCCGCGGCTCAAGAAGCAAGGTGTCCAGGTGAGAGACCAGCACTAGCCCGAGCAGGTGGCCAGCTGCAGAGGCCAGAGGACGAGGAAGGATGGCAGCCAACACTCCCTGAGTGGGGCTGGCAGGCACGAGCCCAAGGGACAAGTGGGAGACAGGCTCGCCTTCCTGGGGGAGGTGCCACTGCCTCAGCTGACCGGGCAGGACACGCAGCCTCACCATGTAGGTGGCGATCTCATCAGGCGCATCCCCGTCCAGGTCAAACTTGAACGTCACCATCCTGTGGTTGTGCGTCTCCAGCTGGCATTCCACCATCTTGTCCCCCGTGTTGCACACCTACGGACACTCAGGCAGTCGGACCAGCGGAGGAGACCCCGCCCAGGGAGCCCTGAGCCCTTGGGCTGTCCCGCCAGGCCACTCACGTTCAGGATGGTCAGCCGGGGTCGACTGGTCCTCTCCTGGCGGGAGCGCGCACGCGTGGACCTGCGGTGGTGTTTCCGGGCGGCCCTGCCTTCCAGCTTCCCCCCACCAAAGGCGCCTTCACCACCATCACTCATCTCTCTTCCAGAAGCCACATCGGAACCTCCGAGGCTGCACGAAAACCAACAACGTCACAGCACCCGCGGGAACGACCTCGCGGAAGCTTGGCTGCTCAGGAGATAACCAGGAGCTTCAGCATCTGACGTGCTCAGCCAGAGAGCCTGGAGGGGCTGAGCCAGCCATGCCTGGCAGGGAGACCCCCGAGCCGGAAGCAGGGCCCAAAGCCCCTTCTCCCACTGCAGCGTCTGTCCTGGGGCCGTGGGGGATGCATAGATTTTCTGACCCCAGACCTCAGTCCTCTGAGCCTCCTAACCTTGGATCAGGCCCACCTGGCTCTCAGTAAATGTGTGGATTAAGAAACAACCCTCCCCCGTCCTCAGTTTCCCCATCTGTGCAACACCACGGGAACATGCCAACCGCGTGGGGCCGGCACAGGATTCCAGGAGAGTCTGTGGAGTGCAGAGCTGGGTGCCTGGTGCACCAGGAGGGTGGGACACAGTCAGTTCTCGTAACCAGCGCCCTCCCCAAATGCGACACGTACTGTGACTGGGAAATGACAGGCGCCACAGGCGCTGGGAGACCTGGTTGTGGGCTGGACTCTGCCTGGCTCCCCAGCCTCCCCTCAGCCCCGGGCCTGCAGACTCTCTGTCTGTGGCCTCTCTCTCTGGAACATCCATGGCACCAAAGACCAGCGCCAGGACCCAGAACAGCCGGGAGCATCTGAGGACCGCACTTCAAGAGGCCCTGAGCAAGACCACGGGGGAGCTCCCCGCAGCACCCTCAGGGAAGGCTGGGAAAACAGGCGCCACTGTCGGAAGCCCGGACACGGCAGGGGCCTGTGTGAAGGGGCAGCTACACCACAAGCCGAGTCCATGTGTGGCCCACGCCCACCCACGCCGTCCCTGGCCAGGCCGGGCCGTTACCTCTCACAGCTCTGCAGGAGGCTGGGCTGCTTGTCCTGCAAGGCCTGCTCCTGAAACACAACCATGGAAAGGAGGGCGGGTCACGCTCGTTCCCGCGCACAGCACCAGCGGCCCAGCCCGCCCGCGCCCTTCTGACCACAGCCGCCACGCGGGGCAGCAGGGCCAAGGGTTCTCATCATGCTGAACGCCCAGAGTCAAGTGGATTCCTAAAAGCTGGGGCCGCCCCCTTTCCAAACACGTTCACCCTCTGACCGGCCCTACGGGATGCCCACGGGCCCCAGAAAGCTGGTGGCAGGCCTTCCCATCACCTGCAGGGGAAGCACTCTAACCCCACGCGTAAAAACCACACTGTCCACCTGCACACGAGCTTCAGGAAAGGGTGACACGCAGGGACGGCAGAGGGAGATGGCAGCAGCTCCCACAGGGCTGTCCTGGGGCGCATGCTGCCACCGTCCTCAGCACGTCCCCGACTTCTAGCAAGGAGACCCAAGGTCACCGAGCAGGGGCCCACCATGATGGCGGGGTCAGGGGTCAGGGTGACATGCTGCAGGCTGAGCCCTGAGGGGAGGGCACACACCTCCAGGGCCGGCTCCACGGTCAGCTGGACAGCAGGGCCGGGGCCAGTGATCCCCGGCCCGCTGGGCAGTGGAGGGTGAGCAGGCGGCAGAAGCGTGGTGGTCTGGACAGGCAGGCTTGGAGCAGCCGCCACTGCTGTGGGGGCCAGGGAGCCAGGGAGCTGAGGCAGGAGCTCAGGGGCGGCGGGCGGGAGCACTTCCGGCAGAGGAGGGGAGAGGATGGCAGCCGGTGTGGGCACCGTGGGGACCTGGGCAGAGACATCCACGGCATACGGAGGTGGGTGGCCAAGCAGCACCTGGGGGCACAGAAGACGGGGATGCAAGTCAAGAGGCCAGGCCCCACTTTCCCTGCTGGGCCCTAAGGGTCCCAGAGCAAAGTAGGTGCCACCTCCGTTGGGCCACGAGCTCTCCAGGGCTCCAACCCGCCCTCCCCTCCCCACAGGCAAGGCCTGGCCCTGGAGCTGTCAGCGCGGGGACTTGGCAGGAAGAAACAGGAACACCCTCTTGTGTTCCTGTGTGTGTAAGATCAAACCCAACACCACACTTCCCCTGTGGCCTCCGGCTGTGCCAGGAGAGGCCCTGAGCCGGGTCCAGCACTGACCACGGGCCCAACCGCCCCGTCAGCTCAGCACCTGTGCTCCCCTCCAGCCTCTGGCCAGGGGCCGTGGACCGTGGCCTCCCATGGGCAACCCAGGCTGGGCCTGCTGGCCTGAGACCCATCAGCAACACGGTGCGTGGGGTCAGACGCGAAAGCTGCAGCCCAGCTGTGGACCTGTCCTTTCTGGACTGTCCTGCTGCTGCGGTCAGGGGCATCACTGCCCACAGCACAGGGAAGCCCGTGGGCAGCCAGGCCATCCCATCAATAAACCCCAGACCCTCCAACCGGCAGCAGGAAGGCCAGCACGCCTGGCCAGCGACCTCGAGCACACACGCCTTCTGCAGCTACGGGCTGAGCAAGGCGCCAGTCCAGGCCTCCACTCAGCCCTTGGCTTTCCCGAAAGGGCCCTCACCTGTGGTCAGCACCACTGTGAGTAATGGACCGTGCAGGCGCCCACTCAGGCCACTGCACTGCTGTGCCTGCTCACACTCGCTCTTAAACGCCACCCTGTTGCTCATTAAAACTCCCTTCCTTCTCCACATACAAATCTTTTCTGGAAATCAGACAGCGAGGAGCCACGTCCAGGAGGACCTGTATGTCCTTAGGACGCAGGGGCTCGCTCCAGACGGGAACAGGTGCAACACGAACTGGGGGCACCCAGCACCTTCGCACACTGTCAGGATGAACCTTCACAACAAAATCCAAAGGGGACCGTCAGCCCCACCTCACGAGAGGAGCTGGAGCTCACAAGGCAAAGGTCGTGCCCACTTGCACACAGCTGCTGCGGCTTAGAGCCAGGGCGGGGCCAGGTGGGAGAACCCTCAAGTGGGAGGCCCACCCAGGTGTGAAGCCCCAGGTGGGAGGTCCCGTTGGGGGAGGCCCCCAGGTGGGAGGCCTCCAGGGGAGAGGCGCCCAGGTAGGAGGCCCCCCATGTGACAAGCCCCCAGGTGGGAGGCCTCCCCGCAGGCTCCTCTCATCAATGAAGTTGGGTAACAGCCCTGAAGCTCCAAAACATGTGGGCTGCACAGGTGTGTGGAGGCACAGAGAGGCCCAGCCATCCAGCAGGGCACGTGTCTCTCTGTCCCTTCACTGTCAGTGTAGCAAGCTGCCCAAGGTCCCCACCTGCCTCCAGGACATCATCCTTGTCTGCCACAACCCTTGGAATCAGCAGCCTGTGTGCCCCGAGCACTGCCCAGCCCATGGCGACTGAACCCCTGGAACCCCGTTTGCCTCATTCCTGACTGCTGAGATGGGGCTGTCCCCCCATCTCACTCTGACAAGGCACCAGGCCGTGGGAGCCTCCCTGGCGCCCATGGAGAGGCTGCTGCAGCCGCACCGAGGGGAGGCCAGGCACCTCAACGCGCAGCATTGGAGGGACCCCCAACCACCAGCAGCTGCTACTGACCCTCAGGAAGGGACCGACAGTGGAACCTTTGGCTGCCCCAATTCCCACGGCTCCCAGTACTTGCTGGGAAGAGGGAGGAAGAGCAGACACCCCCATAGTGGACGAGAAGCCGTGGCCGCGGGACAGCGCTGCCTGCCTGTCCCCACTGTGCCCCCAGGTCAAGGTGCAGTAAAGGAGCAGAGGGCTGAGAACTTGCACCTCTGGGTGCTAAGGGCTCTCCCAGAGGCTGGAGAGCGGGCCCTGCCCAGCAGGGGGCTCACCTGGCTCCCGGCGCTGGTGGCCGCAGCGGCCTGCTCCGGAAGGCGGGCGATGCTCGGCTGGTGGGCCTGCGGCAGCATGGGGGGCACCGGCTGCGGAGGAGGAGCCCGCACGGGCTGCACCGTGTGGAGGGGGGAAGGCGGGACATCACCAGGCGCCATCTGCGGAAAGGCCGCGGGGTACACAGGCTGGGCTGGGAGCTGGGCCACGGCGGGGTGAATGGACAGAGCGGCCACGCCCTGCGGGGCAACAGCCAGCAGAGGGATGGCGGCGGTGGTGGCTGCCACGTTTGGCACGATGGTCCTGCACGGCACAGCCAGCGGTGCCCCAGGCGGGTGGGGCAGTTTGACTGCCTGCAGAGGCAGGGCCGGTGCCACAGGCAGGGGCGCAGTGGCGGCGGCGAGTGGGAGGCTTGGCAGGATGACAGCCGGAGAGAAATACTGAGAGGGGGCAGGCACGGCCGGCACACCGGCGGCCGGCAGGTCAGGGAGGGCCGTGGGGAGGCTGTCGATGGTGGCCAGCGGTGCGACGGGGGGAATGACAGGAAGCGGAGGCATCTGAAAGAGAGACAGCATGTCAGCCAGGGCCGCCCCCCCGGCAGCACACCCGTACTGGGGACCCCGAACGCGAGCCCAAATTAACAAAGCCTAGCGCAGAGCACCGTGCAACAGAGAAGGAAGGCACGAGGCCTCGGCACGGTGGGCGCTCAACAGCCTGAGAGCCCCTGCAGTGCCCTCTGGACCACTCTGGGGCTCATCATGTATCGCCAGGCGGCCACGAGGATGGCAGGGGAGGCTCAGATACGAGGAGTCACAGGCGTGACCACTTCACAGCCTTGTGTGTTTTCATTCAGATAGGCTAGGACTGTCAGGGCCACCTGACACCTGACGTGGACGTTTCTCTGCCGGATTCCCTGCTCTGTATGGGTTCCCTCCGGGACCAGAGTCTTCCGCAGGTTCTCTTGGGGCAAAGCATCTCTTCCTGCCCGCCCTCCCCATTGGCTGAGGCGACAACCCTCTGCACGTGGCTCAGGGAAGGGTGGCAGCTCCCAACAGTGGAGCTCTGGAACCTTCCGTGTCTGGTCTTCCATCCTGGAGACACCCAGTATCTGACCCTGTGGACTTAGCACTTCAAACATTTCAGCAACTCTGAGAGTTTTCTCTTTAGAACAGGGCCGTTTAGGCGGCGGGGGCACACGAGCACCCATGAAACATGCCTTTGTGCAATTGTAGCGCAGTGAAAACACCAACCGACTTCTGCATATTTGAAAAGCAGCTAAAGGCCGTGACCACGGACGTGCACAGTAGAGGTTTAACTAGATAGTGGAGCCATTCTGAGCGTGACAAGGACAAGGCCAGGTGACAGGATGGCACCCTAAACCACAGAAACAGCCACACCTTCTGCAGGAAGCGGCCCCTCCCATCCTAGCCCTGACGATGCAACTGTGACGGGACCCGCAAAGAAAAGCCATCCAGTGACCCAGGGTCCCCGGATGACCAGCACCAGGGGCATTAGCCTGGGTGATGGCCCGGCCCCCAAGGAGTCCCTGTCAGCATGGCCTCAGGTGGCTCTGCAGTGGACAGTGACTGCAGGTTTGTGCTCACGGCTCTGTCCTGGCTCCTTGGCCTGACTCTGGACTAAGCCCTGCCAGTCCTAGACGTGCCTGGGACAGACGCTGAGGGCAGGTGGGCACGGCAGCCCGGCCGTCGCATCATCAGGGAGTGTTCCCACCCCGAGGGACCCTGGCAGCACAGAGAACGAAGACCGGCAGCCCAGCTGGGGGAGGGCGCGAGGCTGGAGGGGGAAGGGGGGGCACCTGTGGAGGGACTTGAGCCAGAGGCTGCAGCGGCGGCATCTGGAGGGGCTTCAGCTGAGCGGGGGCCACCACCTGGGAGCTCGGAGGCAGGTACGGAGGCAGGACAGGGGCCACCGGCTGCAGAGGGCCCTGTGGTGCCAGGACCTGCGGCAGGGGCGTCGGCTGGGCCAGCGGAGGAGGCTAGAGGGAGGGAAGGGGCTTTTGAGACCCACATCCTGCTGAGACACCCCTCATGCCTCGACAGGATAGAGAAAACCAACTTGTGCACACACACCACACACGTGCACACACACCCCCGCCAGCCTGGAGCCCTGGAAGCGCAGACCTGGGTGAATCGTTCTGGCAAGCGAGGCTCCTCCCCGTGCTAACGCCCATGAACTCCAGGCACAAGAGCCCCCATGTCCATCTGCCCCCCAGCCCTGGGGAACCACAGAGAAGGACCAGCAGGGCCAGCGGGCCAGGGAGACCAAGGCACGATGGTGGCCATAAGGGGCGGCCAGGACTCACCTGGTGGCTCGGGGGTGCGGGCTGGCCTGGGCCCGTCGGCACAGGGGCAAAACTCACGGCCGGTTCCGGGAAACGCTGCTGTGGGAGTGGAGGGCGGGTGGGGGGCGGGATGGAGCCCAGCGACAGGCCAGGCTGCAAAGAGCACAAAGGGCCACGCTCAACAGTGGCCCTCAGGACCCCCCGGCTCGTGCTCCACAACCGCGGGGACCCGTCTCTCACTCCCTGTGCCCGTCCTGCCAGGGATGCTTTCCCTAGGAACACAGTTCAGCAGAAGCGAGGTGTGCTGGCCCCTAAACCAGAATGGCCACAACCCCCAAACAGGGAATGTTCTGGAACATCAGCTCCATGGAATATCATGCAATCGTGAGGGAAGATCATTACAAGGGCTGTGTGGAATTGCCGAGAAACGCTTGGTGTGACATTAAGGGAAGGAGACATATAGTTGCATACGCTCACTGTCTGTAGGACACAGAACACGTCTATGCACAGACACATCCACAAATGGGATACAGAACGTCAGGAACGGTCGGCAGAGCAGCATGGGGGGAGGGGCACTCTGCAGAGCCAGGGTCTCCAGTGGCTCAGCCACCAGAAGAGAGAAAGGGGGCGCAGAAACCAAGAGGGAAAGAGTTGGAACTCTGAGCACTGGCTGTTGGATGCTATTAAGAACTGCTGTTAATTTGTACATTTTTCGGTCCAATAATGGTATTAAATTTTGTTTTCAAGGGTCCTGATCCTGCAGAGATACACAGCGAAATATTTATTCATAGGCAAAATGTCTTCCTGTCGGGGATTTACTTCAAAATACTGGGGACGCAGAAGCAGGTAGGGAGATGGAGGAACGGGTCGGACGCAGCAATGGCTGAGCCGACGGCCTGGCTCTCCACATCGACAGCAGAAAGTCTCTCAAGTGAGGTTTGGTGGATAAAACAGGTGACAGTAATTTCCACAACCGAGACCACTCCTGTGACCAGCAGCACTGGTGGATGGAACCGCTTCTGCATTTACCCGAAGCCATGGCGCGGAACAAGCCATCCATGCACCTGTTCCTCGAGCTGCCACCACCCACGGCCCAGTAGGAATCAGGAGCGTGCAGCTGAGGCCTCAGAGGAGAGGCTCCCCTCTGTTCTCTTCCCTCCCTGGGTCCCAGGGGCACACTACCGCGGCAACCGCCCCAGAGCCTTAGCGCACCCTGGGGACGCCCCCAGACACCCCTGCTGCCCAAGGTGTTTCCACACAACTGGAAGGAGATGAGGCCAGTGCTCCAGCCAAGTCCATAGGGCGCCCCTGGCCGGGCGGGTGACCTCCCTGTGCTCAGGGTCCCAGCCTGCAAGCCAGAGGTGGGAGAGGCACGTGCTGGGGCCCCGGTGGAGAGCATAACACATGGCCAGGGAAACCATGACCCTGACCTGGGGGTCTGAGGGCCAGTGGGATGGTCTGGCTCAGCCCTGGCATGGGTGACTGCTCTGAGCAGCACAGGGCAATTTCCCAACTGAGCTCTTCCTGCTGAGTAAAATCACACCCGACCTCATTTTGAGAACACAGGGAAACGGCAGAAGCAAGGAGCTGAGGACAGGAGGGGACGGGGCACAGCGCGGCCAGAGGGTGTGAGCGAAGAGTCGGGATGGAGTGGCTCCCTGGGGGAAGGGGGGGCCGCCCTGACCCGCTTCTGGCCTCAGGGTCTAAACCTCCCTCTGGACCCCCCTCCACCACCTGCCTCAAGGGCAACTTCTCTGCACTGACCACTTGGGATCACGAGGCAAGCAATCATTTTGCTTTCTTTTGCATTAAAAAAAATCAAAATCGAAAAATAAATGCCAAATGCACCCCCTCTTCTAGCAATTTCCATTTCACCTATGTCTTTCCATGTCTCAGACACGATTCCATGGCAGAAGCTTGGGGCCCTTCCCACCTGCTTCTCACAAGCCCCTGAAGACGTTCCCAGGATGTGGCCACCTGCACCCCAACTTCCGACAGCCGCAGAGCAGGGGGGACACGTCTAACAGCCCTGGAACGCGGGGCCTGGACGGAGCCGAAGCTCCTCGCTATCAAGGACACTTTTCTGTGACCTCTGCCACCGTCTGCGTTGCCGTCTCCGGCCCAGCGCGGCCCCATCACTCATCACCAGTGTCACCAGCCGGGCAGGTCTCTCGGGGGGTTCGTGGCAGGGAGGGCGGCCTGGGGGCTGGCTCTGGCACGAGGGGTGGGCGACTCACCACGGCGGGCTGCTGGTAGGGCCCCGGCGCAGGCAGGCTGGAGGGCAGGCCGGGACCATCGCCGGTGCTCGCGCTCACTGGGGGGCTGCACACGCACGGGGCGGGGGGTGCCGCGTCGGCCAGCGAGCCCAGCACCCCGCTGCGCTGGCTGCTCTGCGAGTCCGAGTACACGGTGGAGCCCTGGCCGCTGTCAAAGGTGCTGTCGGCTGCGGAGGATAAAGGCACAGTCAGAGCAGCCAGGTGTTCCGGTCTCAGGAGCATGGCGGGCTCAGCCACGCTCGGCTCGGCCGCACGCTTCTCCTGCGAGACAAAGACCACATGAGTCACAGATACATGTCAACTTCAGCGAACAGCCCCGCAGCAGCGCGTAGCAGGGACTGTCCCTGCATGCCCCGAGGTGGCCTGGCGTTGGGGACCACCTGCCATGGGGACACGGACCCCAGGGGCCACCTCGCACAACCTCTATGTGCAGGACGGCGGCTGCCTCCCGGCCACGGACAGGGCCCCACCACACCCCCGACCTGGCCTTGAAGGCGGGCCTGCTCAGTCTCCCAGGGCACGAGGGGTCAGAGGAGGCCGAGGGCGTGTCAGGGCAGAAAAAGCTACAGAGTCGGGCTCAGTGGTGGGGATAAAATAAGGACCTCCTGTGTCTGGTAGGGCAGGCAGGGGGTCTCAGGACCCTGACCACCTTGCTCACCACCTCAAAGAGCCCGAAGTGGGAAGATCTGGGTCCAAAGCCACATGACAGTCCTGAGTCTAACTTGGTTGGCTCCACAGAGAGACCGTGAGGGGGGACTGGAGGCGCCACAGTCCAAGGAAACTCCCAGAGCTGGCCTCACCCATGCTCAGCCCAGCACACAGGTCAAACCCAGCCTCGGTGGACAAGCCACCTGCACACGGGGCACAGAAGGACCACACGGCCCACAGGCGCATCTGCCAAGACAGGGAAGACAGGCGGCCGTGGGGCTGTGCCGTGAGGGGAAGAACAAAGACCCGCCTGAAGTGGCACTTTTGGTCACTGCTGCCAGAGCCCACGAGCTACACGGATATCATGTCTGCTACCTGTGAACACCAAGCATTTCCAGTGTCAGCATCGTGTCCGCTCATGGTTTAAACAAATAAAGTAAAAGGGAATCTTGTCTGCTTTGCATCAAAATAATGTTTCCCTGGGGCTGACCTGAACTTACTTTAACTTGGGAAGACATAAGAACACTGAGGTGTGAGTGTGCAAAACCCACTAGACACGGGGCTCTGAGTGTAACGAGATGGCTGGTTGTGTCTCCACTTAGAGAGAAAGACAGAGAGACGGAGAGACAGAAAGAGAGACAGAGAGACAGACAGAGACGGAGAGACAGACAAAGAGAGGGAGACAGACAGAGACAGAGACACAAACAGAGAGACACAGAGAGGGAGAGACAGAGACAGAGGGAGACACACAGAGAGGGAGAGAGACACAGAGAAACAGACAGAGGGAGAGACGGACAGAGAGAGTGCACACAACAGAGAATGTCTACAGACCGGACAAATTTGACATAAAGTGACTCTAACCATACAGGTAATATCTCCTATTTTTAAAGGGAATGTGTTTGTTATTGGGATATTTCAAATTAAACTTGAAACATTTAATTTTAACCCATCCTCACAGTCACGGGGGCTGGCCCAGCCCTCTCTCTGAGCTTCATCTGGACTGTGGTGAGCAGTTAACAGAATACGTGGTGCAGAATCACAAAATACAACGTCTGCTGTTCCTTCAGACAAAGACAGTGTGTGTGTTTGCCTGTCTTGTCACTTAAGACCAGGCCCCTTCTCCAGTGGCGCGTGTGCTGCCTGGCGTCCCCATCAGTTCACCTCTACGAAGCACAGGGCGGTCCAGCCATCCAAGGGCACTGCAGCCAGAGGGACGATGCACACAGGCTTTCTGTTGTGACCAGAGTAAGGCACAGAAGAGCGTGTGCAGGAGCTGTGGGTCCTGGGATAGAGGAAGACATGGGGGGTGTGCGCGTGTGTGAATGCATGTTTGTGGGTGTGCCTGTGTACACGTGTGTGCATGTGTGTGGGTGTGCATGAGTGTGCACGTGTACATGTGTGTATGCATGCATGTGGATGTGTGCATGTGCGCACATGCACGCGGGTGGGTGTGCACTGTGAGCCTGCATATGTCTGCATATGTGCACGTGTGTGTGGGTGTGTATGGATATACGTGTGTGCTATGCATGTGAGTACGTGCGTGGTAGACTGCATGTGTAGATTCTCTCTGCAAGGTACAGTAAGAGACAGGCAATATCAGTGGCCTCCAGGGAGGAAAGTTAGCTGTCTTTCACTGTATACCCTCTGGGAATTCTTGAATTTTATGTGATCCGACTATATTATCTACTTTAAATAAATTACAACAAACAGATAAAATCCGATTTGAGAAGTGTGGCCCCTGTGTGAGGCACACAGACCTGTTCTCAGTCAGGACGGGGTCTGTTTGCAGGCAGAACGCCCACCCTGACTGAACCCCCCGTCGATTCATGTCTGCACAGCAGGTGGAACCTGCACCTTGACAGCTGACCACAGCGGGGCATATACTAGGCTCCAGACTGTCTCTTCAAAGGGCGACAAGAGGAAACATCTCAATTCCCGTCCTGGAAATTGTGCGACCAATAACTAAGCTTCTCAAGTGTGCAGTAGGGTGTCAGACACAGGGAGGTTTTCCTACAAAACCTTTACCCTCTTCAATTAATTTTTTGGTTTATCAGAAAATGGAGCGCTGATGTCGCCATTTTATTCTCCAGAGCAAACCTGGTCAGGTGGAGGGAAGGAAGCAGCCGACCAATATCTCAAAGTGACGGCCAGCCGCAGTTTGAACTGAAGCAGCCGACTGAAGAACACGTGGCTATTTTAATGACAAATGAAAGATGTGCCTATTAAATACATTAAACAGACTATTTCGGTCTTTCCGCAGGAATAAACTGAAATGGTGGCCTGGGCAGGGGCTCGGCCCTGCCATTTCACTCCGTGCTTGTCCACAGAACAGACAGAAAGGCCATGTCCCCCATCCTCAGAGCACAGTCAAATTTTGGGGACGCTGAGGGCAGAGGAGGACACTTGTTGGCCCAGACGTGCAGAAGACACTGGACTCTCTCCCAGTGGTCTGAGGAAGCTGGATAAAAACGATTCCCGCCAACCCATCGGCAGCATTCCCTCAATCTTACTAAAGGCCTCGAAGGTCCAGCACCGGAAGGCAGATAACCTTGAGAATGGATACTCACAGTGGCAAAGGCCAGAACCGAGACCAAGGCACCACCACTGGCAGCCCCTGGGCAGTGGCATCCCGGACCAGACGCCCTGCTGGGGTGGGGTACAGCCCTCAGGAGCCCTGTGTGGCCGGGACTGACATCCTCAGATGGGACAAGTAACCAGACTGAGCCACCCTGCCCTCGCTGGCGTGGGGCACGCGAGGTCCTGCGTCTGCATAAACAGTTGTCCCCCGTCCCCAGAAGCTGGACTTGAGGCAGCCTTAAAGCTCTCTGGTCACAGTTCTCTGTGCAGCACCGGGTATGCTCCCGATCCCCCTGGGAAAACGCTCGCCTACGCCAACTGTCCAAACCCGTGGGGGCTCGGGGACGCGGAGGGGCAGCACTCACAGGCCAAGGAGGTGGCGCTGGCCGGCAGCGCGGGGGGGAGGAGGTGCTGGTCGGCCTCGGGCTCCTCGGGCTCCGGCGGCCCAGCCTGTGTGTGGTAGGTCACCTGGACCTGCAGGGGTGCGGGTGGGCCCCTGGCCCTGTCGGGGCTGCCTGGGTCCCGCTGCTCCCTGGGCTGCAGCGCGGGCCAGATCCTCTCCCGCCGCCACTGGATCAATGCCACACGGTCACGGATGGACTTGGCCACGATCTTCAGGTCACTCTCGTGGAAGAATCCTGACTCGATCTGCAAAGGGAGTCACCATGTCATTACCGAGACCAGGCCTGCCCGTCTCGTCTCACTGCTGGGCCGGCCCTGCCATCTGCACAGCCGCCTCCCCCTCATGGGGTCTCCACTCAAAGTCCTCTCCTCAGTCCCTCACCCCCGGTTCGTTCCTCTCAGGACGCTCTCATCACCCTGTAAATAAATGTCCTCCCGCCATCGAGCATAAGTCCGCAAGAAGAGCGACCATCTGAACCCGCCCTGGGCCCACTCCTGGGAGAGCAGGTGCCAGAAACTGCAGGTGGGTGACTGAGGCAGAGGCACCCCAACCTGCCCCCCCGCAGGGCCCGGGGCTTCCTGGAGCCCTTGCCTGTGCTGGCCGAGGGCAGGAAGGGGTCCTGGGTGCATCTGTGTGCTCGGGCACAGGGACAAGGAGCTGCAGCCGGCCCGTCTTGCCATTCTCTGAGAAGTCGTGGAGGCTGGGGCAGGAGGCGCACTTTGTAACTTGAGACCAGGAGGGTGTGCACGGTGCCTGGCAAACCCTGAACTCAATTTACCCAACAGAGTGTTTAAGAGTGTCTGTAAAGGAGCCACTGATCTCCAGGAAACACACGGCTCTCTCTGAGGATATTTGTGGCAAAACCACGAAAGAGCGGAAGCCAGGCTCCCAGCCATCACCACAGGATTCCCCACGAGGGAAGGGAGAAAACCAGAGACAGACCTTCTGGCTCGGGATGGGAACCGTGTGAACTCACCATTTCCAATGTACAACAGACGTAAACACACACAGAGGTAGACACGGGTATGTGTGTACACAGCACAGTATGTGTACAAGGAAGAGAGCATGGTTGTGGGCCCGGGGCAGCCATGACCCACAGCATATAGGAGCCGGACCACTGTGAGAGGGTGGGGTTCCCCATGGACGGCAGGTCCAGGCCCCCAGGGAGAGGAGCGGCCTGGACATCTCACTGTGCTGAGAGGACGCTTGGAGAATGACAACCTGACGACGTGCAGGACAACACGGGAGCCAGCACCACGGCCTCCCACTGGCCGAATCTGGGACATTCTGAGCATCAAAATACACAGCAGTACCAGGAGAGTTTGAAGGACGTGTCCACAAATACCCAGAGGGGGACACAAGTGCTCTGTGGTGGCAGAAGTGACGAGCATCGCTGCCACCCTAGGGTTACACAGCAGCACACACCTGCAGTCTCACCTTCTCTCCTCTCACTCTGTCTCCGTCTCTTAGTCTCTGTCTCTGTCTCTCAGTGTCTCTCTCTCTCTCCATCTCTCAGTCTCTGTCTCTCTCTCGGTCTCTGTCTCTCCTGCTCTCTCTGTCTCTCAGTCTCCATCTCTCCCTCTCGCTCTGTCTCTCAGTCTCTCTGTGGATCACTTGCTCACGTGAAGCTGCGTCGCAAGCAGCCCTATGGAACATCCCACTTGGCTGAGAACTCGACCTGGTGAGCAAGCACGGACACCAACCCTCGCCCCAGTCAGCCCCAGCGGACACCCGGCTGCCCTCACGAGGGGCCCTGAGCCAGAAGCGCCTGCTCAGTCACTCTCAGAATCCCGACCTGGAGACCGTGTGACCCGAGTGTGCACAGAGCTGCATTTGGGGTGGACTATTGAGAAGCGAAGGTGATGGAGCACGTTATCTACTGAATAAAAGGGAAACCATGGGTCACAAAGACATACATAAATGGAAAGTTTGGTGAAAATGCAATATTTACACAGTTGCCAGGTACCTCCCTATGAAACAGTTATTAACTACAGCTTCATGTGGATCCCCAGGTAGACCCGTTCAACCACGTGACCGAGGGTGCGTCCCCAGGGGGTGGCCACGGTAGCAAGCGTTCCTGCGGACATGCTGATGGTCACAGAGGGTGCTGAGCCGGGACGGCCAGCCAGCCCTTCACGCAGTCCACTGACGAAAGGCGCAACCTTGACGCTGGACAACGGGGCCCTGAGCAGGACCGGCTGCTCTCCCAGGTCTGAGGGCCAAGGCAGCTGCACAGGAAGGTCCAGGTACACAGTATTTTGGGGGTGCCGGGCATCAGGCCAGACATCAGTCACTTCAAACGGTTCTTTGCTGTGCATTTGCAACGCTTCTCTAAGTCTGTGATGACTTCAAGAAACTTCCAGAAGTCAACCCCGTGACAGATTTGCTGCTGAGACTCCGCAGACGGTGCCGAGGCCTCCTCGCCAGGACGGTGGGAGTGAGCAGGTCCATGCAGCTGGGACACATGCGAGGGC